GTGTGTGTGTGTGTGTGTGTGTGTGTGTGTGTGTGTGTGCTTTACTTTCTTGTAGTTTGCCGTCATCCAGTTCTCATCAAGAACTATAATTCATTATAACTTTAGAACATTTCCCACCAATAACTGGGGATATTATATTGATACAATCAATCAACTGTCTAGATCAACATACACAGCTGCAGCCATCCAAACTGTAGTGTAAGTATCTCTTTTTTCATCCATACTGAAATTGAATAATATAGTGTCATAAATAAAYGTTAAATTGAATTGTTGCATGTTTATACTGTGATATCTATAAATTAATTTTACTGTTTGGTGGGGATTAAAGCTAAAAAAGCAACCATTTTGATAATTTCACCCACAGACTAAAACTTWTTCAGAAGGGCCTTAACTATTATGCATATTACTTCCATGCCCGTTAGTATCAGTAATAGTGGGGTTTATTCAGTAAAATTTAAAGTTTTATTAGTTCCTTTGAAAAAAATAACAATAATATCAAGATCCAAAGCCATCAAAGGGCAACTTAAACAATGGAAGCGGATACAATTTACTACCAGAGGACCACAAAACGTTGTACTCCCTCACCCAAATGTAATAAAAGTGTACTTTTAAAATGTTTACATATACAGGTCATACAGTACAGACCAAAGGTTTGGACAGACATTTTCATTCAAAGAGGTTTATTTTATTTTCATGACTATGAAAATTGTAGATTCACACTAAAGGCATCAGAACTATGAATTGACACATGTGAAATTATGTACCTAACAAAAAAGTGTGAAAGTACTGAAAATATGTCTTATATTGTAGGTTCTTTAAAGTAGCCACCTTTTGCTTTGATTACTGCTTCGGCACACTCCACATTCTCTTGATCAGCTTCAAGAGGCAGTCACCTGAAATGGTTTTCTCTTCACATGTGTGCCCTGTCAGGTTTAATAAGTGGAATTTCTTGCCTTATAAATGGGGTTGGGACCATCAGTTGTGTTGTGCAGAAGGTGGAWACAGYRCACAGCTGATAGTCYTACTGAATAGACTGTTAGAATTTGTATTAGGACAAGAAAAAAGCAGCTAAGTAAAGAAAAACSAGTGRCCATCATTACTTTAAGAAATGAARGTCAGWCRGTCCGAAAAATTGGGAAAACTTTGAAAGTGTCCYCAAGYGCAGTCACAAAAACCATCAAGGACCRCCCCAGGAAAGGAAGACSAAGAGTCACCTCTGCTGCGGACGATAAGTTCATCCAAGTCACCAGCCTCAGAWGTGSCAGGTTAACAGCAGCTCAGATTAGAGAACAGGTCAATGCCACAGAGTTCTAGCAGCAGACACATCTCGAGGAGACTGTGTGAATCRGGCCTTCATGGTAAAATAGCTGCTAGGAAACCACTGCTAAGGACRGGCAACAAGCAKAAGTGACTTGTTTGGACTAAAGAACACAAGGAATGGACATCAGACCAGTGGAAATCTGTGCTTTGGTCTGATGAGTCCAAATTTGAGATCTTTGGTGCCAAAAACCATGCCTTTCTGCGACGCAGAAAAGGTGAACGGATGGACTCCACATGCCTGGTTCCCATTGTGAAGCATGGAGGAGGAGGTGTGGTGGTGTGGGAGTGCTTTGCTGGTGACGCTGTTGGGGATTTATTCAAAATGAAGGCATATTGAACCAGCATGGCTACCACAGCATCTTGCAGCAGCATGCTATTCCATCCGGTTTGCGTTTAGTTGGACCATCATTTATTTTTCAACAGGACAATGACCCCAAACACACCTCCAGGCTGTGTCAGGGCTATTTGACCAAGAAGGAGAGTGATGGGTGCTACACTAGATGACCAGGGGCCTCAAAAATCTTGCGTACATCATTTTTCATGCAAAACTCAGTATGCATCAAAACTCAACTGAACGTGGAAATGTGCGCAGCCCCACACTAACTCCAGGGCCGGCGTACGCACGTTTCTGTGGTTCTGGTTCCATTGGCGACACTTAGAGGTGATTCTGAGAAACTGTTCACGGTGTGAAAATGATTACTGTTCACACCAGACACATGATTAACAATTATTACATCCACATGGACGCAGTTAAATAAAGGATGCGGAAAGTTGTGCCAAAAATACATTTAACAGGAACTGATTCAGCCTTACTGGAGGATATAATAAATAGTGTAACACGCAGAGCATTTATGTATAAACAGATATAATTTTCTGATGACGAGGGGCTCATCAGCCGTTTTGAGGAAGAATCATTTTTTAGTTTGGCACTGCTGCGCTCTGGGAGCGCGACACAACGAGTCGTGTGCGCCACGCGTGCACGTGCAGCAGCAGCGATGGAACTGGGGTTCCACAGGAGCTTTCCAGTGGGAGCTGGCAGACCCATCGGGACTGTGTCAGTCCAGTCCACCCAAAGCAGAATCATGCCCAGTCAGTCCAGTCCACCCAAAGCAGAATCATGCCCAGTCAGTCCAGTCCACCCAAAGCAG